ACTAGCCGCTATGCGGCTGCAGACGGGGCTCGAGGGTAAGCCCCAGGGCAGAACGGGACGAGTAAGCTTCCTAACCGATCGGTAAACGTATATCCACTAGAGCAGGTTCAATTGGCCCGGCTGTCAGACGCCTACTCTATCAACCAACAGGCTTAACTACCAGAAGCGTGTACGTTCTCACCATGACGTTATACGCGGTGCCCGCCATCTTAGCCAGTCAACTTAGTGGTCACTTTGGCGTTCCAGGCTAGACACAGACAACTTACGGTTCAAGCTCACGGACACAAACTGACAAACGCAGTCCTGATCTCCGGACCCATATACGGCTGGTTGCATGACATTCTCATCAAGCTCCGATATCTGGGTGTTCACCAACGTCGGTCGAAAGCGCTGGCTCAAAATAAGACTACTCCCAGCAACCACATCTTTCCTTTCAGTTACGTTACATGTGAATTTGTTTCTACTGTGCTCAGTGGAATTGACTACACCACGGATACTTGCGTGTACTAGATCTACTAGGAGCGTTGTCTCTAGAATTCTTATTGTGCCGTCTTCAAACCTTACTGGGCTTCAAAAATTTTTAAAACATTCTACGTGCTCAGCGTTCCACAGCAAGAAAGTTAGTGCTCAGATGAGAATTTGTTAAGGCTCTGGGGGCGGCAGCTTGCTATAAGGTTACAGAATACTCTAATGAAGATGTTCGGGAAAGGCCCCCTTGAACCAGGTCAGAATTGTGTTTTTTCCTCGTATTCAACTTTCCGTGGAAAACTCTTTAGGTATGTAGGAAAATATCGCACGAAAAACCTGGAGGGTTGCCCGTACGTTTTCCCCCATCAGACTGGCAATAAAATGCTAAAATAGTCCGATTTTTTCAATTCCATTTACCATACCTTTTTGAAATATTTACTCATCATGTAGTCTCATTAGGTTTTTTGCGTTTGTGAAGAAAAAAGTGATAATTATTGTACATATTTTTGCTGCCATGGGCCACCAAAAAACAATCCACCTAAGCTAAGTACTTTGAGATAAGTTTTAAAACTTCCCCTATGGCGTATCATGAATGGATTCCACACCGAAAACAAAGACTCACTTCTCAGAAGAAGTTTATTTTATTGTGTTTTCCTTGTTGAAATCCTTTTCAGATGTGCCAATGCCAAGGGCGATCGGCGCGAGGTTACAATCATCGTGGACCGAACATGTCCGCAAGGGCAGTTACCTTGCAGAAGTGGGGAATGTCGCAACAAAGGAGATTTTTGTGATGGGAAAGTTGACTGTGACGGCTCTGATGAAGATCCAAACTTCTGTGACAGTATGTCTGTTCAATTATTGTATTAACTGAACATTCTCCCAGCTCCATCTCACGCATTTCTACATGTCCTCCGAATAATCATTGGAAGGACTTCATTCCAATACTTGTTTAACTGTGCTACAGTCTGAATGTCAGCTTGCAGTGTGACAAAATGAAATAGAAAGGGAACCACCAGCATACTTCCAAAAGCTCCTTTAATAGAGCGTGCCTGTGCAGAGGTGACCATATGAGACCGATTGTCATTGCCAATACAGATTACTGTGTACATAAAACAGTAATTGTAAATCAGGCCTAGATTCCGCGTATGCGTAGTTTTAAATTGGGATCCACAAAGATGAGGAAAACTTAAATCGCCCTACCAAAACAGAAGACCGTAAAGACCGGAAGGATATGGAATGAAACTAGAAAAGTAAGGCAGAACGCTACGCTCCGCATTGCGATCAAAGCAGATTGGCAAGAGTCATTTTTGGTTAATTTTAAGAAATTCTGATGTCCTACTGAAAAAAAACAGAACGTTTAGATTCATTTGCAAAAACGCTATTTAGGGGGATAATTTTGTTTTGATGAAAAAGAGGAAGGCACAAAGTGAACAGAGTATAGAAGACTGGCCAGTTGTGTACAATTAAGAAAATTCATTAATTTTGCTATCTTTCCTAAGGAGATCCGAGCATAAAGAGAAGATAGTCAAAATCGTATTTTTTTGAATATATAAGATAGTGATGAATGTATGTGCTTCGCCGACTTAATAGAGGAACAGTTGTGTTCCGCTTTACCCAGGAGCTCACAATTAGAGTCCGCGCAGGCATTCATCTAGCCACTATGTGTGTCTGCCTGCGCAGGCTCTAATTATGAGCTCCTGGGCAAAGTGGAACTTAATTGTTCCTCTAATAGATCTAGGAAGCACATACATTCATCAAATTCCCGATCTTAACCGACAAAGCAACGAGCCCGTGGTGCCGATGTAGAGTGTTAAACTCAATGAACAAAGAGCCCGGGTTCGAATCTCGGGGTTCGCAACCCTTGAGATTGGGTATGACTGGCTGATGACGGCTAACAAACCAGAAATGGCCATTCTGGTCTCTTTTGGCTTTGTCGGATCCACTTCATATAAGATAGTAACCTCTCCATGCCAGCATTTAGAGAATTTTAGTAAGTTAAGCTAAGAATCTAGTCTCAAAGTACAACATGAAGTTCGTTTTATGTAACAAAACATAATTCAAAAAGACGTCGCTTGTATAACTGGTAGCTGCTCGCTTTTCACATACATTCTGTAAGCGACCTCTTTTTTGAATTTCTCTTTTATATCGATGCATTTC